TCAGCTCGCAGATTTAACACCCGTCCCGCGATTCCAAGAGGATGGGGCGCGTTGGTTCCCGCGGACGCCGTAGCAGAGGTCATATTTTGCGGATGGTAGTGATTCATGAGTGTAGAAAGTCAATTCTGTGTTTTGTGGAGAAAAGGGGATTGGCGCTAGGTCCCCGGTCTTGCTCCCCTTGCAATTGAGCAACCACCTCGTGAGGATAAACGGTGAAGGATTACCCAAGCGTCTCTATTTTGACGGAGATGTCGCTATGGGTGCTCGTCAACAAGGAGGACAATAACGACGCTTGCCCCTATCACGGTGAGCTAAGCACCGTGGCTAGTAAGACCGCCAACTGATGGGATAACTAGGACGTCGCAATCAGTCTAATGTAGGCTTGCGTGAAATAACCGACTGGTGGGCTGACAGTAAGGCTGCAATGGCTCATTCTTAAAGTGGTTTTTATATCACTCTCACGCATGCGATATAGAAGCCGTCCCATCTGCTGTTGTGTGACATCCTGGTTCTTCATGCGCACAATAAGGGGTGTGGTGGCAAGCCTAGGCGCGGTTTCATATCGCGTCAGCAACCTGCGCCTGATCCCACAAGCGATATTCTTGACTCTGTTCTGACACCGACCACAAGGGGGTGAGGAGGCAAAAGTGCGATAGATGTGGCAAAATTCACTGCTCCTGCGCCCTCTATACTGTGGGGCAAACAGTGGATATCATCGGCAACAATGGTGGACCTGTTATTTAGCCGGCTTGATCGGCATTTATTCTAATTTACCTAAGTACAATTAAGTACTTTCACTAGCATTGAAGACTAAGCAGCCATAACGAGAAAGTAGATCGCTGTTTGACTCAGAGCGGTTTTATACCTTAACGGTTTTCTTATTAGTATGCAGTGACTGGACACTGTCGGTGAAATTTACGACAGCATTAAAATCGGCCTACTTTGTCGAACTCTCCCGTTCAAAAAAAACAGACGACTCCTCACTGCGAAAGGGAAACGGCTGACACGGAGCGAATGAGGTAGGTAGGCGAGCATTATTGGTTTGGCCGCCTAAATCCAACTTTTCAAACAAGTTACGATCAACTGCTGGGGAGAAAAAAAATTAAAAAATACGTGCCTTGGGTGGACATAACGCCGAGCGTAAGCAATGTACTTTCGGAGCAGACTCGGTGATATGAGGCGGCTGTAATCGAAGCCAGGAGGCAGTTGAAGCCGAGCCTCCAGGGACTCTTCGCTACCGGCATAGACGTTGGCAGCAGAGGCATTTCCTCCGAAGGCCCACCTGTCGCGCTGTTTTCCAGTATGCAAGGCCAAAATATGCTCGGATAGCCGCCGATCTTGCCTTTCAGAGGGTCGATCGGGAAGGATAAAAATAAGGTCGAACCTGCGTGCAGAAAAGGAAGAGGAGATGATGAATAGTAAGGCTCAGACTGTGAAACCGTGTTTCAAAAACTTTGAGCAGAGATGATTATTAAGTTGTTCACAGTGTATGACGCAGTGTATGTTTCTAATGAAAAAAGGTAACCCCTCCAGTGTAAAAGCTTGACTTGAGAGATGAATAAAATCCTAATGTGAGATTTAAGTGTCATAAGGGTTTCTTCAGCGTACAAACGACCTAACGGCAGGTGACCCATCTTTTGCATATTGTGCCGAAGCTAATATACAACTTGTAGGAGGGGTCAGAAAATGAAGGAAAGGGGAAAAAGGAGGAAGAAACAGTTTGACGAAGAAACTAGAGAACACAGTTCGACAGGGGGGTAAATTACAAGGGGCAGCAGCAAAAATTGACATTTTAAGCTTCAAAATCGTTCAAGTAGAATAAAGGACAGACTAGAGGATGCGGAAAGCAGAACAGGGTAGAGAAGAGAATTTGTGAGAACGGCGAGTAATAGCGTTCGAACCACATCAAAAATATCATAAATGGTCTCATCCCGCGACATCCGATTTTGGTTGCGTACGTAGACCTCACCCGTCAGTCTTGAACCATGTCAACGGTGAATGTTCTAGGAATAAGTTCAGTGCAGTCGCTCAAACCCTGTGAAGAATGTGATTAAATATCAACTTCATATTAAAGGTTAAACTTGTAGAAAGTCTGTTTTATCCGAGACATCTTCATACAAGAATGCACCCATTTGTCACGGCCAACGATATGCTTAACGAGAACTGTAGATATAGCCTCCTGACCATCAGTACTTCGAATAAAACCAGTATCGATGGGTTACTTAAGGTCTTCAGTCTTGACTCTTCAATAGGTCAAAAGTTCCGTAACTTATGTAACCCTCAGGCCGTTGCCAACAGAGGCTTCTGATGTCTGCTTGCAAGTAGTGACT